GCACCACAAGAACCCCAAGAAGACGGCGCGAAAGTTTGGCGGGTGCAGCATCCTTTAACCGACTATTTTATCTATTCCACGCCAGCACACTTGACTGTGCTAACTTCATGTGGTTGATGCGTTGTCGACAGTGTACTTGTTTGTGAGTTTAACGTGCAAGTAACTGTGGTGATGTACAGGAGCCACTATGTCGGGATAAGGGAATAACCCTGAAAAATGTTCATTTTTGGTTTAACTGTAAGTTCAGGTTATTTTTGGTATATTTCGTCAGACGCACAACTGATTCACATCATGTGCGTTGTGTTCGCCCAACATTCGATATATTTCCATACCCTGCATCGTTGCAGTATATTTCGACTAATATTCGGTATTTGTCAGCCCACAGCTGGTATATATTTCATACGTTGTTCAATTATTTCAAATGACCCCCGACGTTTCATCTATTTCGATTTTTGATGCAAATAAAGTAAATCAAAGGGCTCCTTCATCAGACGCTAACTTTTATGTCATCCAATTTTTCGGTAAGACTGTACTAGTGGAACAGCACGAGATGTAAGGTGTAAGGTTGTAGAGGTTTCATGTCGACTCAAATATATGATTTCAAAACGCTATCAAATCTGCGATCTACTTGATTTCCATCTAACTGTAAAATTGAAATAACGTTAGACGGAACATCAATTGAAATATATACAACGTGTGACATATACCGGCTGTGGGGTGACATATACCGGATATTATATACTGCAACGATGTAGGATCTGGACGAAATATATCAAATGCTTCGCGAACATAACACACATGGCGTGGATCAACTAAATTAAATAGTGATAGTATGAACCGTGTAGTCGATATTGTTCTTCGTTGCTTAACGCTATACTACATCGAGTGCCGTGCGCTGCCAAGGCCACCCAGTTAGAGCTTCAAGTCGTACAAGAAGCATTCTCGGCGGAGTTCTTCTCAAAGTTTGGGCACCTTCCATCCGGCGCGTGGATCAACGTCAACGAAACCCCGGTGTACTACGACATGCCACCGGGCAAGACACTGGCCAAAGTTGGCAAGTCATCTCGAGTCAACGAGACACAGAAGCACTCCGACCGGATTACAGTCGTGCTGTCAATCCGGTCAAACGGTACAAAAGATACGTCGTAAAATGTTCTAAACTGCTGTAGGTGAAAAAATGCCCATGTTGATCATCGTCAAGGGCACTCCCGGCGGTGACATCCATCGTCACGAACTCCCAACGTATCCTGTTGGACCTGTGTATGCAGTTCAAAAGACTGCATACATGAACCAACGGGTTTGGTCGTATTACCTGCGGGAAGTGCTGATGCCCGACATTGACTGCCCATTAGTCATGCTCGCTGACAACCTCAAGTGCTACGTTTCCAAGAAGTCCTACAAGATCCTTGAAGACGAACTCTTTTCTGCGGCCTACTTGCTAACCACTTCCTGCGAACACCACGAGTGTTCTGCAACCCCTGGACGTTGGGGTTATGGGCCCGTTCAAGCAAGTGTGCCGTTCCGAGTGGATCAAGGAAGAAAAAGTTGTCACTGCAGCGGAAAAGCGCCTTGCCATGATCAAGTGGCCAATCAAGGTTTGGGATGCCATGAAGGAGGATACCATCCGCAAGTTATTTGAAAAGGCGTTAACAATTTTTTAGGTTTAATCCAATATTTTGGTAGTTGTTGTGTGTTTTTTTCACTATTATATAATTTTACATTTTTTAATACAAATATTCATATAGATTGAAAAAGTATAAAAAGTTCACACTGCCCACGGGACCTCATGCTAATCCTTCACCCCTCACACCGCAATGCTACTTAGTTTAGGTCATTCAGCATTTCGCCAACTTACCCTAATCACCATGTTTAGAACGCGGAGGTATCCTCAGACTGAAGGTAATGTGCAAAATAAGCCTACCAGTCATGTCACTTGTCCCCGAGTTCAATCCCGGGTGAAGTCACTTAGCTATTGGTTGAAATACTTCCAATTAGAAGACAATGCAAAAAGTCGAAGCAACGATCTTTTTTATAATTTCTGGTCTCACGTTTCACGCAGCATACTTTGTTCTTCATATTTGATTGTACCACTGTGCGCCAGTCCCTACGTCGTTCACTGTAGTAGTACATATATTGTTCTTCGTTGCTTAACGCTACAGTACTGTAACCCCCTGTCGTATCTCAACCACTTCAAAAACGATCGAAACCAAAACGTTGGAATATTCAAAGGTAAAAGGCGAAGTGAGTTACAACGAGCCACTCAAACTACCTAAACTATCAGACCCGATAAAGGGGTCGATTCACTCTACCAATACATAGGGTACTCCGACCACCAAAAGTACCGACCAATGGATGGCAAGGAGCAGGTGCCACAGGTCTACTCCTTTCCGTCTCAGAAATTCGAGCCGAATGCATCACTGACCCCACGAGTTACTTAACCTCGTAAGCGACGGCCATCTTCTTGATTACGGCCGACTTGGCCGCCTTGCAGAACGACTTGAACATCACGGGTACATCGGCGAAGATGTTGTCGACGGGCTCGCACGAGTTCTCCACGTCTTGGAGTCCGCATCACTTGATCAACAGCTCGTAAACTTTGGTAGTGGGGTACCGCGCGCTCACCATAGCCTCCACCTCGAAGCCTTCTGAGTTGTGGGCGACGTGGGCGAGCAGCTCAGACGTCACGTCCAAGTCACGGCCCGCGTAGAACTTCAGGCGGCTGGCGTGGACGGGGCGGACGTCGTGAGTCAACAGGTTCTTAACGTCGTACACCCAGTTGCTGGTCATCTCAGTGACGATGGCCGCAGCACTTGGTCCGCAACTTCTGGAGCAAATGCGCCCATACGTCCTGGTAGAGGACATAGTCCCCCAGTATGAACTGGGCCATCTGGACGCCCTTCTTCTTATTGTGGTACTGCCGCGAGCGGTCGTCGCTTCCCTGCGTTTTCCACCGACATATGCTTGTGTATTGCTTCCAGAGCCAACTGGGCCGCGGCAATGTTCTAGTGTTGACCTTTTTCCACCTCGGCTAGCGTGGCCGACATGTTCTGACCAGGCAACGCCATCGTGTAAGCCGGCGACATTGCCCGACGGCCAGACATGGCGGTCACGGAGGCCATACCGACGAACACAAAGTCCCAATGAATCAGTCGATTGGGTGTGGTCGAGTGGAGGGCGCCGCCAGATGCACTGGCACAATGTAGGTACCGATGCACAAAACATTCGACGTCGCTCTTCATGCCGGTCCACTGACAGAACGACTCCAGGCTGGCCAACGTGGCCTTGGCCATGCAGTGGCCTTGGCCATGCAGTGGCCGGCCAAACTTGCATGGGTACACACGCAGAGCCGCAGCTGCAACTGGGCGGCGGCGACGGGCACCCAGATCATATTGTCAACGAGACGTAGAGGCCACGCATGGCCAGACGCCAGCACCACCACGTGGACGGCTTCCAGACTCGTAGTCATTCTCGACAAGACGTCGTCGGGGGCGACCACCTGGGCTTCCGCGATGGACACAAATGTTGGCAAAGATCTGCAGTGGCTACTGGCTGACGGCACAGATGCTGGGGAGGGTAGATCCCCAGCGCGACAGCAGGTCAGCCCAGATGTTGACTTCGCCGGGGATGTCATGGATGACATGACTGTAGCCCATCAGCAGCAGGGCCCACCATTCCAACTTTTGGGCCGTGTACTTGGGCACATATGCCAAAACAGATGTTGGCCTAAAAATAAATTTCAGGTTGCTATGATCCGTGTACAAATTGAAACCAGCGGCAGGGTGGAGGAGGTAGTCTGCACGGACCAACGTCTCAAGAATTGCATACGCCTCCTTCTCCACAATTTCCCACCGACCAGCTGCACTGCTGAAGGTGCCGCTTAGGAACATGAGCGGCCAGTGGTTCTGGGCGTCAATCGGCCGGTGCAACTGGCCGGGCGGCACTTGCGTAATCACTGATCCCCAGTGGCCTTCTGACGCGTCAGCAAACACACAAAGTCGCTGTTGGGGTCAGGGTGACACAGCTCCACCACGTTCCCAAGCATGACCTTGGTCTTGGCCAGACAATCGTCGTGCACGACCGACCAGCCGAAGTTCTCCAACAGAACGGTCGCGGCGGCCTGCTAGGTCCTCTTACCGTCACCAGCGGCAAACACCCGCTCCAGCATCTCGGTCAGCGGCTTGATGGCGCACACATACTGCTGCAGGTCTGCACCAGTCACTGGGGACGGCAGCTGTTGGAGCGCCTCAACGCGGGCGGGGTCATGCTTGACTCCAGTCGCCACACCACCTGGCCTCGGTCACGCAGAAACTGCACTTTTTCGGGTGCAGCTTCAGACTCTTGTCAGCGCACACAGCGAACACGTCCGCCATCACATCCAACAATCCCTCGCGGGTACGATGGTACCCCAAGAGGTCGTCCAACCAGGCCAATAGGCCTTTGCACAACTGCTCTGAGAACATCTCCTGCACCGTCGACTGGCAGTACGACACGCTGTCGCTGCCACCCTGCATCACGCGGGTGAAGGAATAGACGCCGGTGTCGGTCAAAAAGGAAACATCTCTTGGCACCTGAGGTAGAGGGCCCTTTGAAGAAATCAAGAAGGAAAAAACATTAGAGGGTAGGCCGCCTAACACTTGATATTCGTGAGCATCAGGGCCTGCGTCTGCCTCGAACCGCAGGTCCATCGTGGCTTCCTCAGTAACGCTGTGGGCGGGGCCAACAAAACCCTTGACCTTAATGGGGGTCTTGAGCTTGGTCACGAGGGCGTTACGGCCTAGCTTTTTAGTTTAGCCAGCGTCGCGGGGGGCACCACACTTTGCTCGGCGCCGCTGTCGAAGGACGCGTCCAGCAAGACGGCCTGACCAGCCACGCACACAACGCGGGCAGCGCAATCACGGCATTGTCGAGGGACCTCGGCAACGTCGACCGTCTCGACGACGGTTACCAATTTGGTTTCCTTCCAGATGGAACGGGCACGCTCAATCAGGAGCTTGGCTTCACCGTCAACGACCTTCGGACACTTGAACACATTGTGCTCGGTGCTCAGGCACTTAAACTCACACACTTCGTGAAGTTCAACATCGGGACCTTGTCGACGTTCACGACAGCCACGACCTTGGGGGCTTTCCAGCCTTGGGGGTCTTGGTCGCCGCGGGCAACTTGTCGGACTTGGCGTTGACGGGCGCCGCCGTGGCCATCAGCGGCCCAAACTCGCCGTAGCGGCGCATGTAGTCCGCCAGCCAGCTCGAAATCGCGCGCGTCCTTCGTGAGGCCGCGGTTCTCGTTCAACTTCATAAGTTCCTTGACACGGGCGCGCACAGCCGGCGGCTGGACGGCCGCGACGAGGTAGTCGACAGTTAATTTCGGTCGGCCTTCGCGAACCCCTCCATTGAGAGGCGCACGAGGACCGCCTCGAAATCCGAGACCAACATCGACACCCGCGACTCGGCCGACTGCACGGTCGTGTCCATCTTGAGCTTGGCCATCGCGACGTCCAACTTGAACATGTCCACAGGATCGCAGTCCTTGGCGCCAAGGAAGAAAACCTTCCAGTCCTCCTCCGTCAGCTCGTGACTGGCCTTCCCGATCTCCCAGTACGCGATGCGCTCGACCGATAGCGGGTCGATACATGCGCTCAGCGATGCGCGCTGGATCTGGACACCACCAGGGCGCTTGCGTTCGCGATGGTGACTTCCCGGGCGTACGCCTCATATTGGTCCATGAACTTGCGCATCTGCACCTTGGTGCTGCCATTGAACGACGGGGCCTTGGGCACCTCTTGGAGCCCATAGACGACTTAGACGCCCGCGACCGCGGGGGAAGTCGTGGGCGCTGCAATAGCCGGCACCAGAGTCGCCGAGAAGGCATGCCAACGGGCGCTCGTCCGACGTCGCATCTCTTCCAGCTGCTCACCGTGCTTGACAGACGCGGCGGCAGCTTGGTGCAGACCTTGCTCGTGGGCCTTAGTTTGCTTCTTCTGTGCATTCAGCTGCTCGACGAGGACTTCTTGTCGACGGCGCTGATCCTCTAGCTCAGCCATCAGCCGATTGTTCATTTCCATTTTCTGCTGAGAATGCAGCTGTTGTTGATGGTGCAGGTGCACCTTCTGCTCAAAGGTATGTCGCGTCTCCGACAGCATTCTGCACGTCGTCCAGCCGCGCGGATTGTTCGTGGACAGCTGCCTGCACTTGGTTACCCAGGTGCTGACCCAACCGCTGCACGGTGACGATTTCCGGGGGGTAGGCTGCGAACGGCAACGCACCAGCCGGCGGTGTTGACGGCAACGACATAATGGGTGCGTATTGCATTTCTTGAGAGATGGTGCGTCGGAGAGCACCAGACCAGCCGTGCTGGGTGGAGACGACATTCTCTCGGAGGAATGGTAGTCTACGAACAGGTGCTGCGTACGGGGTAGATATAGATCGCTGCAAACGAGAGATCAAACACGAGTAGATGCACACGAAAATTGTGGGCAACAGGAGACTTTGACTAAAGAATTCTTTGTTGTATCTCAACCACTTCAAAAACGATCGAAACCAAAACGTTGGGATGTTCAAAGGTAAAAGGCGAAGTGAGTGACAACGAGCCACTCAAACTACCTAAACTCTCAGACCCGATAAAGGGGTCGATACACTCTACCAATACATAGGGTACACACCAATACATAGGGTACTCCGACCACCAAAAGTACCGACCAATGGATGGCAAGGAGCAGGTGCCACAGGTCTACTCCTTTCCGTCTCAGAATTCGAGCCGAATATATCACCCCCCCCGCATATATACGGTATAGTAACAGGACACAACACGTTTGACAGTATTGGCTTTGCAGTACTTCATGTCGTCCACGATGCTTTCACATAAGTTCATACATTGACCATGGTGGCGACCGTAGTTGTTCAAGGCGTTGGAAAACCTCGCGACCTTGACATGCAGTCCTTGTGTCGGGGGTTTTAGGGGTTTCGAAATCCGAAACAGATCTCTGCAAGCTCCTCTGCACTTCGTCTTTAATCGATGTGGTCTGCAACAAACGGCCTTTCCGTCCAGAAGAAATTGACATGTGCTGTCACTTGCGAGCCTCCTGGGGGAACCCTTGCCGTGGAACCCTTGCCGTTCGTGCAACTCGTCGAATATCCACTCCAAAGGAATCACTTCGAAATGTGCACCTGTTGTTGTTTCGCGATGATTGGCCAATAAAAACGAGATATAGTAAACAATCAATTTAAGACGCATCTGACGGGGACGGCTCAGGAGGACTTTCACATCTCTACGCTCAGACATCCTTATCGGCCTCTGAAAGTTCAAGAATAGAGAGTTTTCGGACATCCATATTTGAGATGAATTTTGAGGTACAAATCTCCAACTCAAAAGTGAAAAACATAGAGTTGTGACATTAGGAGATGGAAGTGACAACTTTCCAAGCAGCAGTTGTGGACACGGCAGTACGGATACCAAACGATTCGAGTTTACCTACCTACGGAATGTTAAAATGACACACGCGCCCATAAGCATTCCGTTTGTCCCAATATCATCTGTCTTGAACTCACTATTACCCTGTTTTGTCCGAGTGGATGCAGTCACGTGTAACTGCTAACTACAGTGAACCGGGGAAAAACTCGACCGGGTATGGAACACAAATTGTGTCACGTCGAAACACAAAATTATAGAAACTGACATGACAGTCAGATTTTGATTGGACAAAATGTTTTGTAACGTTACAACAAGAAATGTCGCGAAATGGGCAAAATAAAATATGCGTTTCAGAGTTTTAAAATAGCACCATTCGATTTAGGACAGTGTACTGGCGCCGCTGTCTGAAAATTGCACAAGTGTGTCTCAGCCACTTGACGTCAGTATTATGGGATCTTTCAAGAAATTCATGCGCAAGCTCTGGCTTGAAGAGCTACCTATTTATTGAACGTCTTTCGGGGTTAGTCTGTAAAGCTCTCTACACGGACGATGGAATCCGACGACTGTTGTGACACGTGGGCGTCAAAAGTTGTCTGCAAGGATGACATTTGGCCCGATGGCAGCACGTCGAGGTACAAACGCCACACACGACTGTTCATCCAACCTTTGTTCTGCACCGCATAGTGGTGCCCTGACGGGTACGTACGAAGCTCGCATTGGTCGATGGGTCCACCCGGGGTGCCATGGAAGATGAACAGAATTGGGAACTTGCCACCGAAAGGGAACAAAGCATTAGAACATACAGAGTGTATAAGTGTGTAAATTACCATCAGCGTGGCAAGACAAGACAGCGGTCAACCGGTCCGAGTGCTTTTGGGCTTAGTCGACCTTTGACGACTTTCCAATCTCGACCCAATCGTCCCCGGGGGTATGTAGTAGTAAACGGCCTTCTCGGTGACGTTGATGATGTCGCGCAAATTGTGCCAGTCGTACTTGACCTAGAATTTGCTGACAAAGTTGTCACGGATTTGAACCATGTCGACTGCAGGAAGCTTGGAATGACAGTCCACACGTTGAGAGAAGCGGTGTCTGTGTGCGAACGATTGGAACAGATGAAGCAAGGACTTGTAGGGGTCCGGCTTGTTGGCTTGATACTGCAGCAGCCAATCGTTGTAGTGGGTCTTCATGGAGTTGATGATGCGCATGGATGTCAGTATATGCACATCTCTGCGGACGTCTTTCATGAGCGTGAGCATATCACGTTGGAATGGGATGATGCACTTCGCGCTTTGTCCACCGAGGGTGGTTCGTTTCGCATTGCGTCTAGTTGCCACAAGCTTTGCGCGCTGATCCAGCCAAGTCGAGAGAGTACTTCGAGGCACGGCGTTCAGCGCGCAAAACTTGCGACAACTGATGCCATGTTTGTCGAAGAGTCGAAGAAGCTCGCGTTTCTGGCTATTGGAGAAAATATAGCTTTATAGAGGTACTTATGTTGAAGGGTTGTATGAAGTCTTGGAGGATTATACCTGAACACTAGATAAGGAGATTGGTCACATTTGATGAACACAAACTAACATCAAGAATCCTAAAACCGTACACATTTTGTGAAAGGTGGTCGCCAGATTACTCAAAGCTCAAAGCAAGTACACTCATAGTACTACTGTACAGTACTAACATCGAACGACGTCCTAGCTTGCTTGTTATGCAGTTGCTCGAATTTGTTCCGACAGCCATGTCGTCGTGTATGCAGAGTTAATCACTTTGCAAGAATTCGCATGGCTAATAGACAACGCCCGTGTTATCGTGGTATGGCTTGGTGCTTGCACCGCATTTGATTCCTACTGCCTCCAAGTATTAAATGTTTAATATCCTGTTAAATTGGATATTCGATGGTATTACACAGGATATTCGTTTATACCAGGCTGCAAAAATCGGGGGATGACTGTAGTAATACTATCTACCGATAGTACCTTGGCAGTGTGAAGTAGAGGCAATACAAATCCTAGTATAATTGAGTACCACTGTACTAGACTTCCTTATATTTTTGCCCACGCGGACAGTGGACTTTTCCTTATATTTTCTTCCAGAGTAGTACTGTTTTAGGCAATTCTGGGTCGAAAGCTCGGCGATCCGCTGAAGTAATTGAAGCGACGATTAAGGTCGTGTCCCAAGAAGATCGCCAAACACTGCGCTCCCTCGCCGCACACAATGGCATACCCAAGACGACCATCATGCGCCACATGCCAGCAACCAAGAAGCTCATGGCGCGATCAAGTCATCTCAAACCATTCTTGACGGTCGCCAACAAGACCGAGCGCCTGCGCTTTGCGATGAATTTTCTCTTGCCTGGGTCAAAAGGGAGACACTTCTTTGACGCGATGTACAATCAGGTATATATCGATGAGAAGTGGTTCTTTTTGACTCAGGTTAAGAGAACATTCTACGTATACGAAGATGATGAACTGGCCCATCGCGCCGCCAAATCCAAACGATTTATCACAAAAGTGATGTTTTTGGCCGCCGTTGCACGTCCCCGGTACGATCCCCGCCTACGACAAGAATTCGATGGCAAGCTGGGCATTTGGCCGTTTGTCCAACGCGTGCCAGCAGCTAGAAATAGTAAAAATCGCCCAAAAGGGACTCTTTTTGTCACGACGCAAATTGTTGACTCACAGGTCTATTTCGACTGTATTGTGAACAATGTGGTGCCTGCAATTGTGGCGAAATTTCCCCAAGGTTGCCTGCATCGATGTGTGCATATTCAACACAATAATGCTGGCCCCCACCGGCACTTGACAACCAATCTTTTAAAGTCCAACAGTGTTAACCGTATCAGCATGTCAAACTAGCCTCCGAATAGCCCAGACTTCAACGTCCTAGATTTAGGTTTTTTTAATGCTATTCAAAGCCTGCAGTACCAGAAGAGAACTTGTGCAATCGAGGAACTCATTGGTGCTGTTGACTGTGCATTTTTTGAGATGCTGTCAAAACTCTGGCGAAGAATTTGTCACGCTACAAAAGGTTATGGAAACATCCATGGAGGTGCTCGGGGGCAATAACTATAAGCTTCCGCACCTCAAAAAGGATTGTACGATTCAAGACCTGTCGACTTTCAAAGTTCATTATGCTGCGTCAACGTACAATAGCGTTCATGCTCAATTGAATTCGCAAGTCGAAGTACCTTGAATATAATATGTACAATCAATAAAATTTCAATCGGTGTACTGATCTCCCCCCTTAAACGAAACGGGGTAAACTTGATAATTTTTGAAACTTTATATTATCCAACCATATCGGAAGGTGATGACTTTTTCAAAATTCGAACACTTGAATCGTTTGGCATTGAAATGGATGACATCATTTCCACTGTGAGAAACTGCTGGAGACGCACTGGCATACTCAGCTCTGACTTGGAGACGCCCAGCGCTTGAATGCATGTATAAATGGTTGGTTCAGACAGCCTGCAAATACCTGTAAGAGTTAATTTACTGTGTGAATTGCATAATTTGCTCCGTTTCGTTTAAGGGTGGAGATCAGTATATGCATTGTCGAGGTTCAATACAAAAGCCAAGATACTTTCGGTCCTAGAGTATACTTTAATCAAGTCAAAATACCGTAACGATCATTGTGGACCAGAGTAGTATTATCTTTTCCTGGCAAATTAACCTCAAAAACGATAGATCTCGACAAGTCGAATCGATCGTGTGGTTCCAATTCACAATAGACCTCTTGATTGCCAATAATATTGTACATCAATATATATATATAGAATTAAAATAAGTAAATGTGACAGGATTGGCTAAAATCGTATTATGGTTGTAAATGACAAAGAGATTGAACAAATAATCAAAGACTGCGTCATTGAAGAATAAACCGATTCAAATACAATATGGCAACGCTATTCCGCATTTACAACCTATATGACAATATTCTACACGACTGAATATTTGCTGCGACTCTACACCAAATACCTAGCGCTCAGTACTGATAACTCAGATCAATTTTTTGAAGAAACCCATGGACTCCTTTTCTATCGTGACACGCCTCCAACAACAAGTCGCCGACGACGTTCACGCATTGGACGAGATGGGCCAAGTCTGCCACGCCGCTCCCTCCCAACATGTCGAGGAGGCCGATGACTCCCCCACGCCCGTCATCGACAGCTTCTTCAGTCAAGGCGGAAATGCATCACTGTCGACCATGACAACTCAGTCCGAGTTTAAATCCATTTGGGCCATTGTTGAGTCAGCCATGGTGACGACATGGACAATGGGACGCGGCCGTAAATCTACGACGTCACCTAAGGATGCATTCTTCATGGCAATGTCCGTTTTCAAGCATTGCAAGGCGTGGGACAAACACGCTCGACTACAAGATGAAGGCACCAACCTTTAAAAAAAATGATCCGCCGCGTCTTCGACATCGTGGAACCTATTACGAGCACTTCGTAAAGCCGATCAGCATGACACATCAAGTTCAACACGGACATACGTTCAACAACTTTCCCTCCGCTTTGTACAGCACCGATGTGAAGTTCTAACCATCGTACCGTCCGACGGGCCGATTCGACGAAGTCAAGCACTACTTTCAGTTAAACACAAGCTGTATGGCCTCAAGCTCGAGTACTCCGTAGCATACCCAGGTGTGCCTGTTGATATGTCCGAACACAGTCCTGGATCTGTGGCGGATGTGACAATGTTCATGCATCGCCGGCATGTTCATCAAGACATGCTTAGCAAGACAGCGTCTCAGATGGAAGAGGGTGATCATGACGAATGTGCCGAGGAATATCCAGACTCGTGGAGCATACTGGTGCACATGGGCTACCAAAGGATCCAATACCAAGTGCGGTCCATGCAAGCGAAAACCTCAAGGAGGCCTCTCACTGCACGAGAGCTTGAACCAAATTCTCGAGTGTCATCGGATCGAGTCATGGTGGAGAACTACTTTGGACGCATATGCAGCCTTTGGAAGATCATGCGTGAAACGTACAAGTGGAACAAACCTCGTTTTGACCGAATTTCAAGGTTGTGCGTTAACTAACTCACATGTGACGTGTATGCCGCTGCGTGGAACCGATTGTGTGCATTATCATGGTGTATAGGCTCGATACTGTAGTATGTCCAACGAGGCAACGAGGAAGCGGAGTCGAGCTCAAGCCCAGTATCGTGTCCGGCGTGCGGGGCGACTTGGGTTGACCTCTCCCCAAGTCGATCGCCGACGCTCGATTCTGTAGGTGCTTTAAATAGGATTATAGTTACTGTTAGTTCTTTTGTTTTCAAGAAATTTTCTACAATATGAACAAGAGGTCTACCGTATACCTTATGGATCAGTCAGTACCCATGATTTTGCCTTATCGCGCTGTACCCAAATTGCTGTATGGTGTCAATAAAGAACGATTTGGTGGTACCTTGGAATACTGTCGCTTTGTATTGGCCAAAACTGTCCAATTATCTCGTTCTAGCCAATAAAACAAGTTGAAGTAGTAGAAATGGCCAATCCGATCGCATTGGAAAGAAATCAGACCACCTTATTGAATTGTATCCATTTCGATAAGATTTTACTGACATTTTCGGGGGTACAGATTCATAAGGTATACGGCAATTGCACCCGAAAAAGATCTGATCTCAGTGGGACTCGAACCCGGGCAGAATGCACGTTTTGTGTCTTGAGCTATGGTGCACTTCATCTAGGCCAAAAATCGAAGAATAGAGGTTTTATTATTTAACGTACATTTGATATAGTTAAACCCAAATTTCAGATACGTTAAATACCGATTTCATGCGTTTTATCACTCCAGTGGGAGATTAAAGGTCCCAACTGCCTCCGGATATCATATACGGATAATAGTCACATACAAAAATCAAGATACATCTCAGCGGCCACCCCTATGGCCAAATATCCAAGCGCCCATGTAAAATACCGCTATTAATAGGTTAAATATCTATATTTCTGGACCAATTCATCACCAAATTTGAATCTGAGACGTAGAATTTCTTCACCACATTGAGATCTGTCGATTCTACGTCTCAATTTGCTGAAAATTTGAGTAGTAAATATGTCAGAAAATTTTGTGAAAAGTTGGTTGTTTATAGATGGCGTGGACGATACAGGTATATAACTTCGAACAAAAATGGAATTTCACGGTGGTGTCATCACCAGGGAGAATGATCGTCCCTATAGCGTGTCAAAGACATGACTACATCAACTGATGCAAATATCTAGCCCCAAAAGTACATCTTTTGTTGGGCCCATGATGGTTCAAATGTTCCGTACTCCGGTGATGTCCATGTAAACAGATCCAAAATAGTGCTACCGTTTCGTGGTTTTCAAAATCATATGTTTTTTGTGATTGTTCAAATGATCAGTTCGGCAATCGACAATGAATTGAGCAATTATACATATCTTTGTCAATGCCTTGATGGTGATCACTAACCAAGTTCTGACTTGAAACTTCATCACTGAACGAGAGGTCTAATGGACAAAAATGAGAGAGCTGTTTTAGTTTAACCGATCGCATTGCTACAACAGAAATGTATGGGCTAGGACGTATTTTAGCCACCCCATAAGTCTTGACGTTTGTATGGGCCAGTTATCCGTACACATTATCCGTACGTAGATTGAGTTTAACCTACCATTATCCAAGGTTTAACCTGGCAGATTACTGTTTAACGCTCATCCCAACCCCAAAACATATAGGTTAAATAGAAAAACGTAGGGCAAAAGGTAGCTTTCTTGCACCATAATACTTCTGGCTGGTAATGAATCTGGTGTACTGTACAAGGTTTACTGCGATCACTGCTGTGCACGCAGAGAATGAGGTACTTGAGGTACTTCGAAGTAACTAGTTACTATGGTACTTCGTTTGACAGCTAGAGACAACATGGCCAACATGTAGACTATGGCGTCCATTCAATGATTTGTATCCTTGGCTCCGCCAATCACTGGCCAAAGCTGTCATGATTCACGAGCAAAGGGCGCCTTGCCTCTGTGTCGACACATCATATCATACTAAGCTTAGTAGTTCACATCGGAGGAAAACACCTCTTGTCGAGTAACGTAAGTAACGTTACTAGAATCGTTGAACGTTAGAGAAATTCCCGTTTCTGCAAGGCTCATTCCCAACTGCCTACGAATAATAGGCTCAAAACAAAGCAACTTGTACGGCAGTATTCCTCCTATGTAACGCACGTATTTCATGTCATACGAAGGCCTAGAGGTGGTGAACCGCATTGATGTCGTCAAAATGACTTTAACGATATGAGTGGTTAGTAGTTACTTCTTGTATTGGCATCCACAGCTGTTGATGTCTCACACGTAGACGAGGCTACGTGTACGCGACATCAATGGATACACATGTAGATTCTGGACTGATTAATGATATCCCTCAAGTTTTCAAACTCGCAACCCCGTGTGCCACATCGACATCATCAACGAACATGTGTGGAGATGTTGACAAATTCACCCGATATCTGAACGATTCCCCACAACTAACCTCGTCGTAGAGTTCACTTTGCCTTTTTTCCATCGACGACCAAGATGGCGTATTTGACGGTGGAAGACTTGAAGATTTCGTTCAACCTGTTTTGCGTCGTGTACGGCGTGGGGACGTTGGGGATGCCTGGCAACTACGCCCGCGCCGGCTTCGTGTGGGGGACTTTGGCTGTCCTTCTTATGGCTGCGATCAACATCTACACCACTGCGAGCATCAGCAAGGTGCTGCTGGTAGCCCCCAAGAAAGTCAAGACGTACGGCGACCTGGGCGAGTGGTGCTTAGGCAAACCGGGTCGGTACGTGACGGTGCTGACGCAGCTTCTGGTGTGCTGGATGGTGCCGATTGCGTTTCTGGTGCTCAGCGGGTCGCTCTTGACCACGCTGTTCCCCGGCACGTACGACGACACGACGTGGATCATCTTGATGGGGTTAGTGCTCATGCCAGTGTGCTTGATGCCGAGCCTCAAGGAAAGTGCAGGGGTGGCGGCGGCGGGCGCGGCGGGGACGCTGATCGCCGACATTGTGGCGCTGTACTTGCTCGTGTCCAACATGTCACCCATTCCGGTGGGATTGAGTCCCCCGTCGCCGATCCCGACGTTTGCCAGTGTCTCGTCTGTGTTTGGCAACCTCTCGTTGGGGTACTCTGCGGGCGTGGTAATTCCTGCACTGCAGCGCGAGCACAGCCAGCCCCAGCGCATGCCTCGCGTGATTGTGTTCACGCTGGGCGTATGCTCGGTGCTGTTCTTGATCATCTCTATCACGGGCGTGTCCACGGTAGGGTGTCAGATTCCCGGCAACTTGCTGTTTGCTATCACGGGGACCAAGTTGGGCTTTGAGGCGTCGCGAGGAGGGGTGGTCTTGGCCTTCCTGTCCATGCAACTGCATTGCTCGGTGGCGTTCGCGGTGATTCTCTTTCCCACGTTTTACATCATGGAGCGCATTTTGTTTGGCTTCCACAAGGTCCACTCGGTTGAAGAAGCTGTTGACTACAACAATGACTTGGAGACCCCCGCGGACAAGGACGAGTCGCCGGTGGTGCCCGTGGAGGTGGACGCGGCCCCCACGTACAACTCGTCGGGCGACTACTTGAAGGCGATGGTACTGCGCTTAGTCATGGTCGGGATCAGCATTGTGTTGGCGATCGTATGGAAGGACCAGTTCATGAACATTCTGGACTTTGTGGGGGCGTCGTCCACGGCCATGACGAGTATGATTTTGCCCGTGCTGTTCACCCTCAAGACGTTCGGCAACAAGCTGCCGGCGTACGAAAAGATCTGGTGTGGCTTTGTGTTGGCCATTTGCTCGGCGCTGGCTGTCTATGTGTCGTACCACACTGGCAAAGCCCTGTTTACCCCGGAAACCCCCGACAAGGAGATCAAGTTCCCGCATTGCCCCGCCGAGTTCCAAAAGGTGGTCTACACCAACCGAACGTACTACAACCTCCCATAAAATCCAACTTCTACTAGTACTAGTTTAACTACTCCAAGGTTTTTTTGGAGAAATGAAGTGTTTTTCGAAGTGTTTGGAGTTTCGTTGTTAGGTACCATTCAAACCGGGTGAGCCAGGAGAATTCAGTATGTCGGAAATGGGTGTCGAAATAACCCAATTAGAAGAGAGCGTGAGAAAGATTCCATACCTTAGGCCCCTTTCGGAGTAAGCGAAATAATAAAACGAAAAGGAGTGCGGAGTAGCAAGTCACAGCTTTTTCCCCCAACAGAAAATTCTCAAGAGCTTTCTGATTAGTCAAGATTTTGGTCCATCGCCGGACGAGTGAATAAGAAATAACGATATTTGATTGGTTAAAGCAAGCATAGGACAGAAACAGAAATAGCAAATCGGTGATAACACTGACATGGCCAAGCCGAAGACCCTACGAAGAAGGAACTCATCGAAGAGAATCGGGTACTGCGACTCGAATGATCGTTGCGTTGCTAGAAGTACGGTTTTGGCTGGTTACGTGACGACTTCGCCGGTATTAAGTTGAACAAGCAGGTGGCCTGCCTGTGGGAAATGGTCGCCCTGCAATTCAACATACACTTAGACACTAGTGATGCAGGGGACCGCGAACATCATCGCATGTAGTGTATCTTCCACCTTCTGCGCAATGATGAAAATCATATAAGGTCCACAGCGCCGATGGGTTCTGTACCAGCCAGCATAGATGTGATCGGCCTTCTGTGTGTTCTAAGCTGACGCGTTGACAGTGAATTTGTCCATTTTTGGATCGGGAGTGAGGCGGTCGTCCTAAGAAGCAACGACAGCTTGTGCAGCAGCACCGACAGCTGCAGCGACTACCGCGTTGATGTCCATTGGACTGAAATGTATGGCTGGTGATACTTTCACAAATTTGTGGTATTCTACTCCGAAATGCTTCGTCCACTTATTTTCACAAACGGAGATAGAAGTAGCTCTCGGAGCTACTGCGCAAAACACATTTTCATCCGGAGACGGAAACCAATCTGATTGGTTCTTGCTCCGGAAATAGGTTAGAAAAAACTATTGACCCATATCCGTACGTACATGTATTTGGCAATAATTCATCAAAATTACTCAAATTTCCACTCAAAACTACAAAACATATCGAAACTCATTGGCCTTTTTTGGACTGCGAAATCCACAATCCGTGCAAGCCGCTTTGGGATTTCAAAATGCGCGACACAAGTAAACCGAACCTTACTGCGGCTGCTGTCACACCGTATTTGATGTGTATGTCATCTTGAGCGAAGTTTACAGTTAACGCCAGAACTACAAGTGCACTGTAGAGATGTGCACTTGTCGTTCTGACGTTAACTGTAAACTTGAGAGAGAACAACTCCTGGAATACTCCTGCACATCTCACTGTAGAGATGTGAGATGTGCAGGAGTATTCCAGGAGTTGTTCTCTCTCAAGTTAATGGCGTCGAAGCATGGTTCCAAGCGTAATGTCGCATACGATCGCTCCTTATCGACTCTTGTAAGGCAAGAAGTCGTTAAGGGGAATTGCGCGTGTTTCAGAAGCTAGTCTACTGTGGGTTTTACCTCGATCACTGATCTAGTAATAAGTACTATTCAGTTTCTAATGGGTTATTTCCATTTTACCTCAACTGCTGAACAATTAACGTACTACTGATACTAAGGTTTAATGGTCTCGACTTGAGATAGCCCAAAATACTCCTTAATTTAATAAGGGCCTGTCTGGCAACCTGAGGGATTACAATACAGTACAGTATTCTGACCCAAAACGCCATTTTCGGGTCGAATTCAATAAATGGGATAAAATTGAAACAAGTCCTCCTTGAAGCCATTTGAAATATAATCTCCATAATCCGGAAAATGCAGTGAAGTATTGATATAATTACCGGAATCGTAGTGCAGGAGGAGGAAGAAAACGTAGTACACACTGTATTATGTTACCATCAGCCAATGAAAAGTCACAAAAACATAATGAATGTGGCCAATTGAATCGATTCAAAAGGATCCCCAACGACGCCACTGCGACGCCTCGGCACGAGGACTTCACCATAGCCAGTGCTCGGCGAAATCGCAACTCCCAACAAACGATAAGTAGATACACATTTGGAATCAACCAAATGAAGAAATGAGTTGTACAGGCAGGACTGCACGACCTTCTGGGTCCATGAAGCGAGAGCCGAGACGGAACGACGCTGGACCTCAATCACTTCACCTACAAGCACTTCCTCTCCTTCATAGAATACTGGGCGGACGGAATGCAACGCCCACCCTGTCTTCGAGTTAGACGGTGAATTCTACAATCTGATTGGTCATGGTGCTTCGATGTTCGAAAATTAATGCAGCCTATCACAAACCGCTTTCAAAAATTTAATCATTTCAAGAGGTAATTATATTATACATCAAAAGAAGGTGCAAGAAGGACACTCAAGAACTTTCATGCTACCGATTGAAGAGGTCATAAGTATTCAGAGGTGAAGAAAAGCAATACTTCAATTGATACAATGGATGACGCACAAGCGTAAGCTTTCGACGCGATAGCGCAGTGGTTAAACACGTTGTGTCTTGAGTGAGCCCCGGGTTCAAGTCTATATAAAAATTAACTTCACTCAATATCAAGAATTAATATCAAGAATTTTGTACGAAATAAAATATATTTAAATTGTAAAAAAATATTTGTATTCAATTTACACGAAGTGCCTTGGCAAATCCCTGCCGAATGACGTCAGCAGTGATCATATCCCATGCAGAAATGGCACGCAACACCATGGCCATTCGCTTTTGACGAGCAGTTGGTGAGTACGGGTCTTCATCGTCGTCCCCTTCAAGCTGCTCTTCGTACAACCACAAGTTACGTAGGTTCCGCTTGAACGGCGCCATCACCCCGACGTCAAGTGGTTGGCATACCGAGGTTGCGTTCGGCGGCAGCGCACAAAGGTGGGAGCCAAGTTCTTCATGCATAATCCTGTACGACTCATCCGAGACATGGCACTCAAAGTTGTCCATTAGAACCACCGACGGCTCTTCGATCGACTCACCAAGGACATCACGCAGGTACTGTTTCCAAACTACCGCATCCATCCACGCATTCTCCTGCATCGCGTAGTGATGGCCACGAGGAAACGTTGGGAACTCGTTGGTTTCGATGCGCGCCCCAGGTACTCCCTTCATGATCAATAGCAGGGGCAGCTTTTGACCGTCCGCTCGCGCCGTTAGGACCGCTGTCATGCGCATCGAATGCTTTTCCCCCGTTGAGATCTTGGCGCTGCCGCCCCGAACAGCCCAAATGTACGTTGGAGGGAGGTTGTAGTACATCCCTGTCTCGTCGACGTTGAATACGCAGTCGTTCTCGTAGGATTGGTATTCCCGATGGAAATCGCGGGTGAACTCGTCGTGGACTTCAGTCAAGACCCTCTGCTTGAGCTTGTTCTTTGTCTGCCGCTGTCGAGAGAATCCATAGCGCTGGCAGAAACGACGCAGCAGTCTGAGGAGTGAGTCGTACGCGACGTCAGACTTCTTCGTTGAAAGGTACGGCATCAACCACGCCCTTTGGTTGATCTTGATCCAGGTGATCATGTGAGTCGTCATCTCTCATTTTGTTTATAAATCCTACTAAACGTGGTGGGTCTGGACTCTTCATATCCACCTGGTTCGATCTTCTTGTTCTTCTTGTTGCCATCGAAGGAAAGGAGCTCAAAACGCTGAGCGTACCATGATCGTACAGTTCGTCGTGGGACGCCCATTAGCTTCGCCACCTCTCGACCAGATAAGGTCGAGAGGTGTAGCCGATGGCTTCTAGCTTAGTTGAGATCGGATACGACGCGCGCCTCATATTTCGATGTGCACGTAATTTTTTGAAAGCCAAGTTTTCCCGCGGGCGCGAAGAATAAAAATTCCACCAATAAGAGAAGAGTATTTCGAATATTGAGTATCATTGGATGAAATTTATTCTGATACTCAAAAATCTTCGGTGGGCGTTGCATTCCGTCCATCCCAGTAGACAGATCAAAACAAGGATGTCGAGTTGGGAACAATCAGCGGGTATCGCAGTGCCATCCAGAATCTTTACAAGGACCAAGGTGTACAATTACAAGTGGAATATGGCGATGATAACAAGGAGATGTTTTCGGCTATTACATATTTTAATAATTTTGAGCTTTTGAGTTATGAGACTACGAAAGAGCGCGACCCATGGGCTTCAAACTGGTGAAAAAGTGTACCGAGGAAAGCGTCCGATGACGTATGATGTTTTCGAGTCGCTATGTGCAAAGAGCATGGCACTCAGCGATGGTGGCTTCGCGCATTTGTTCCTGGTTCTGTCGTGGAACCTTATGTGTCGCTCGAAATCAACAGAGACAGTCCGGTATGGCACTATGTAGTGCTTAGGATAGTTATGTTTGCATATAGGTTCGATCACAAGACGTGTGAGGATGACAGCATTGGTTTCACATTCTTTAAAACCAAGACCAACCAGGAAGGTTGGAATTGGTATATTTTTGTGGAACGTGATTGCATATATTTTTAACTAGGAACGAAAAACAAGGAGCCAAAGCACTGTTACTCATACTCGTTCAAGCCGGCGACATGCCTCTTTGTCGCTTTGGAGCTCTAGCTTGCAACAGTAGGATGTCCCCAATCAGCTTGTTCCCTGGTTTAAATCAAAAGGTGTTTAGTCATGTCACATTCCAATCAATTTAGATTATGTAATTAGGATCGCTTTGGAAAGTCATTGGTTGGCGGGGCAGCTCGAAGGCATAGAAAGACATTGGGACTCACTCCATTTGGAAGGGTGCTGCTACGTTTGTGTCATCGGGCAGCACCGAGGGTCCATCAATTGTCAGTGTGTGCCGTCGGTGTGGCTGGGCCTTCGGAAATGTCATAGAGAGGTACTACTGGTATGAGGCAGCCGGTGACCAGTTCACTGGTCGATATGTGGCTATACTACCACTAAACAGCGCTGACTTTGCTGTCCTGCATCCAAATTTTCAGGTGGTAACGACTTGTTGGTTGGCCAGGCTGTCCAGATTATGATTCCATCCCTTTGCTCCGAAATCCACCTGGTCCCAATCATACAGCTCATTTTGGCGAGTTTGGTGTATCACCAAATTTTTTTGATTAAGTACTTGCCTCCTCACCATGCCCTGCTGTCCACATCGCTGTGTACGAACCCAGATCTGTTTGCCAGTCTTAATACCATTTTGATATCGGGCTCAACATCATAATGCTAGCGTGCCAATGGAATCCCCTCCTTATGTTGAAATGTACAGGAAATTGGGGAAAAACGAGGTGATTTTGACATCCATGCCTGTCCATATTTTGGACGATGTGCGGAGTATTGTCGAAGACCATCGTGTGGCAGTCAACATTACACGATCGGTTCTGGAGTCGTTTATTGCCAGTGCCTTGTCGTCCATCCAACACTCAAATGGCGCCATGTCTCCCCCACAACAACTGCCAATTGATTCGCAGCCTCTGGTATATGAACCATTTCACTGGGGTGGCAAATTCCACAAGCTACCAGAGAATTTTGCGTTTCCTAGTGTCGATGCTGCAACAGCATGGAAATTATGGTGGCGTGGAAATATTCGCGAAAAAGTCTTGCCGTATCGAAAGATTGATACCCAAGATTTGGCCATCCGTGCTGCGAGAAACATGTTTTACGAGTAGAAATATGTCCTGGAGAAACTAACGTAACATTTTGTGTCAGTATCAGGTCGCAGCATGGCCCTCAACCCTTCGGAGCAAGAGGTCTCCACATCGTTCGACACGACGCGAGGCGTTTTCGACCAACTCTGCGGTGAAACATCAGCGAAACGTGTGCGGCGTGACGGGCACCTCAAGATCATGACGCTTGTCCGTCTACCCCGCCAACTCGAGCCTTCCAAGACGCCTCGAGTCTTCAAAAAGTGCAATCGCTCGGAGCAGCGAACAGGCAGCTAGTCGACGGCCATGCTCTGACGTGTACGAGGAGGTTGAATTAGTTTACAGAGGAGATGGAATGGCAATCGTAAATTGGATGTGTGTGCTTGTGGTCCAGTGTGCAGTAGACACTAGCAGTACGTGGAATGACTCGGCCAACTTGCTCTGCGATCCGAAGTTGGAATGGTTTCTTCCGTCACATTCATGGATTCTAGCCAATCAAACACACTCAACAGGGATTGGCTGTAAGTATCGCTGTGCACTACTGTACGTTTTCCAACCACAACACAAATTGTTCCTAATCCATTTGGAGATTCAAGCGCTGAATCTCCCTCAGCTCAGAATCGGAGGATATTCATCCGGATATTGGTCGATGTTAGCGCACCACCCATCCATTTCGAACAAACCCCCTGGCGCCTGCTCGTCCCTCCGCCCCTTCTTCCTCCTCGATAGCATCCGCAAGACCATCCCCCTCGTCACCCTCCATCGCATCTCTGCCAAAGTCGAAGCTTTCCTCGACCCGTACCAAAGTGGCTTCCGCTCCTCCCGCAGCACTGCCGACACCGTCTGGACTCACAAATGGCTCGTGGCTCGTGGCACGTGCCAACAAGTACCAAGACAAGCACTATATCCTCGGGATCGACCCCTCCCGCGCCTATGACACCGTCGACCGCGCCAAATTGATGTCCGTTTCGAGACCTTCCTCAAGAACGACGCTCCGTCTCAGCCACATCCTCCTGGCCTCTACCACTCTATCTCTCCGCAGCGAAAAGCTAAACATCGCCTCCTCCCCCGCCAATACCGGCGTTCCACAAGGGGCCTCCTTCTCACCCGCCCTCTTCGTAGTCGACCTTGAGGCCGCTCTCCATGACCTCGACTCATCGCCACACGAAATACTCTGCCACACTATCCCCTGTTATGACAACGCCGACTTTGTGTGCTCCAGCAACAACTAAATGGACGCCATCTCGGGCCATGCCCCTGTCATCCTTGCCCCGTGGTCGCTGCAAATGAACCTCAACCTCGATAAGACTGAACACACAAGTGCACAACGCAAGCCCATCGACCAACAGACCAAACCGCCACGACCACCTGGAGAACGTGCAAGAAACTCGGCACCTACCTCTACGACTCTGCCGAGCTCCAACGCCGCTACACCCTCGCTCGGGCCGGCTTCCACTATCTCTGGTTCCGTGACGCCCACGTCGCCGAAGCCACTCGCCTTCGCATCTATAACTGCTACGTAATCACCATACTCACATACAACTGCGGCATCTGGGCAATCACCAAGACCCAACTGCTTCGCGTCGCCGCCAACTGCGTTGCATCATTCGTCTCGTCTACCCCAACAGATCTCCAACGTCGCGCTGTACACGCGATATGGGTGTGAACCCCTCCGGCTTACTCTCTTGCGAGCCCGCTTGTCGCCTCTTCGGACGTATACTCCGCCGGGCGCCTGACATCCCAGTGAATATGCACATGTTAAACTACTTCGGCCCCCAAAGCACTACCAAATGGCCTGGACACCACCTCACCACCCTACCGACCATCCTAGACTACGGCCTCCGGCCGCTGAATCACATCCTGCGCGTACTTAGCTCTCAAGACATCCATCACCTGCGCCAACTTGCCCTCGACAAAACGAAATGGCGCGACCTCACCCGCCTCATCCTCGAACACTGCCCACAGGTGGCACCATCCCCAACGGACACCGAATTTGTTCCACGGATGCGAACACGTCAAAGGCAAATATAGCCAGTCCATAGACTAGTTAGCGGATAGAGCTACGCGTAACCGTAAATTCCTTCCTTCCATCCATCCATTTCAGGAGCAATCAGCCTTCTATGGACTCCCAGTCACTTCCATTGAAATAAGTGTTATGCCTTGTAATTAAGGTAACGCACTCAGCTGGCCTACACGTGGCTGCAAAAATCGGGGGATGACTGTATTAATAAGCGATATGACCAAGCCAATACTAGCATTAATAGTACCATTGTTTGCCTATTCGACGTACTAGTTTGCTTCCCAAAATGAGGCATTAGTTGCTGGAAGCAATACTACAGTATACTGTCACCAAAGGACAGTGGTGAACATAACCCGCGTTGACCGGGTAATCCCTCTTGACATCATGCTGAAACCCGCGTTAATTAGCGTGGTACATCTCGACTTCGGACGTAACTGTTCAGCTATACTACAGTTCTACAGGGAACGACGTTGTCGAGTACTATATAGTATCAAGAAGAATGCATTACAGTATATTAATGCGCACAACACTCGCTTATGCTTTACTCTGTCCAAATTGCATTAACTCGACTCTTTGCCAACTACTTTTAATGTCACTACTAGGTGTACTACTACTGGAATCAGATATTTTAATATGGAATATAGTATGTGGGCTGGACTCTAGGTAGCACTCTTCCTGCTGACTTTTTTCACGAATAGATCGTCGCATTGGATCCGCCTTGCGTTGATTGGTCTATTCGTATCGAATCCGTACAGTTTGGTCAATTTTTGAAAAAACTATGCACCATTATATTGAGACTTCCTTATATTTTCTTCCAGAGTAGTAATCCTTTAAAATTGCATACTTCTCGAAATTCCTGGTTTACATCCATATATAATTTTTTAGAGGTCATACCTCGAATTTTGGCAGCGATGTCGGCCATCGGAGTGCCGTGAAGGAGAGAGAGGTGTCCACTTTTCCAGAGTCGCGATATGGTAACCCTGTGGCACTGAAAGTGCCGAGCCACATCAGATACTGCACCATATGGTAGCTGCTCGTGGTGCATGCGTGCGAGAAGCATATCGTAATCTCCGCGGCGCTCGTCCTCGGAGAGATTTCGTAGGTGACTTGCTCGGTCCAGGTTTGATGCTGTGTGTGTGGTCGTGGGTGATGGCAGAGATCAACACTGTACAGAAGGTGCAGTCGACTGGGTGTCAAATTCAGTTATGACAATCTGGCGCAAGAATTTGATGCCTCAAGCACTCGTTGGCAATTTTCCCGCCTCATAACTTTTGAACCATAATGAGTTTTTGCACTCACAATGCGTCCAATCAAAGCTGAGGTCCTGCGCTTTCTAATGAATCAATCAGAAGTGCTATCCGAGGTGTTTTAGAAAAATTCCGCCAATAAAACGAAACTGTAACGATCATTGTGGACCAGAGTAGTACTGCACATGGTATAACGCTCTAAAAAGTGCTAAAGTATCGTTGTTTCTAGGCTTCTTGCACCATACTACAGTAGTAATTGATACCGATCTATCAAGACAGTACAGTACCGGTAACGTTGATACCGATCCTATCAAAACAGTAAGGCCAATATGCCCTTCTTTGCCGTCTTGTGCAATACGAGTCGTCAACCAATTCAAGTCGGACTATATACAAACTATCAGAGGTTTACCTTCACGATAGAGTACAAAACAATACCTGCAATACTAACGTCAAGACAGTACCGGTAACGTTGATACCGATCCTATCAAAACAGTAAGGCCAATATGCCCTTCGCTGCCGTCGTGTGTATTACGAGTGGTCAAGCAATTCAAGTCGGACTATACGTATATACTACGTAATATAGATTGAAAAAACTATCAGAGATTTACCTTCACGATAGAGTATACCTGCCATACTAACGTTAATCTTACTAAGTTAGTACAAAGTAGTGTTTTATTAAGGTAACGCATCGAATTTCCTCATACAGCATGCCTTCAGATTTACGAAATTCCAAGGATTTCCAGAGATATGTTGGGTCAAAAATTACGCATGACACAATGCAAAAAAGTGTTCGCGAATTCGATGCGTTACCTTAGAGCCTATTCGGGGAAAATACCGAGACAAAGAATTCATCCAGGACGAAATCATAACCGGATTTTTATCCGGTGTCATTGTGCGGATGACCATTTCGTGTCCATGGAAGAGTTCTGGTTTACTCATGGTTTTGTCATTGTGAGTGGTGGTGCGTGTGGCTGTCCAGTTGGCGGTGGCAACGGTGCGTGTGGCCGTGTTGCTGATGGTGTGTGTGGCTGCATTCCGTGTGCTGTGTGTGGCTGCCCACATTGTGGCAACGGTCGAGCCCGTGCCTGTCCTCCGGGCGGTGTGTGTGGATATCCTCTTGGTGGCCAGTGTGGCTATTTACATTGTGGCCCTGTTGTGTGTGGCAGCCGTTCTGATGGGGGTACATGTGGCCGTCGAGACGTTTATGCTGATTTGGCTGGAAGCATTGCTGCGACAGCTGTGTGCATTGCCGTGTCATCTGTGACCCGCACGGAGAAGTACAATGTGCTGACCGTGACAGAGATTGACTTTCAAGCATTCTTAGTCGATCCAGTGTACGACCGATGGTTTATGGACAATGTACGTTGTAATCAAGAGTCCTTTGTACAAGTTATGTGAGTTGCTGCGGGTGGAAATAGCGCAATACAGTCTCGACAATTATACCAAATCCCACTCATACGAAAAAAAGGTGGCTGTTGTGCTCTACTTTCTGGGGTCCCAAGGTGGATACAGAGAAGTTGCGGCTGTGTTTGGAATGTCCAAATCATGGTGCCAGAATATTGTGCACATTTTTTGCTGAGGTACTTGCTGGAATGGCGTCGTCATGGATACACCTTCCAACATCGGATATGGAGTGGCAACACTTAGGTTCTGTTCAAAACAAAACATGTCGGGTATTCTGGGGGCTATCGACGCAACACTAATTGAAATCCAACGTCGAAAGGACTACGATGGATTCTACAACAGACATGGGGACCCATCACTCAACGTCCAAGCCATGGTGGATCATACTGGCGCATTTACTAGTATTGACATAAGACCTGGGTCATTTTCGGACCGCCGGATCTGGAAAATTTCAACGTTGGGACGTTACATCCCGAACTAAATTTCCAAGTGGCTCATAAATTATTGGGGACTCTGGCTATGTATTGTTCCCATGGCTCATCGTACCGTACCTTCCACACGTAGAGCCAAACAAGACACTGTCGTCTGTGCCAACGCCACTTCAATTTCGAGATCTCGGATCCACGTGAGCGACTGGGGACAATCCAAATGGTAAGGCAGGATTGTAGACGGCAGTCTCGTGAACGAACTCGGAAGCCGGCAGGGCCAGACAAGTCGGCGACGAAGAGTCAAAGCGCGATCTCGTCTGGTCCATTACTAAACTGTTTCGTAGTTTTCGGGAGAAGCTTGTCTCGCCACAGTCAGCTGGACTTCAGCGTTAAACTGGACGGTGCGAGTCGTCACCACATGCGTATATTCCATCAAGACTGGTACACCATAGGCGTGGGTGGACACTTGAGCCAAGTGATGAATTGTTTCGGCCGCCGACTGCACACTAGAGGTCAGTAGCGATAACGTCCCAGGCGTAGGACTTGATAAGGAGTACGAGTCATTCGAGTCCAAGCGCGCAATCGGACTTGTAGAGGTGAGCGGGGCAACAGACTGGGTCAGCGTCTCGTCATCGTTACCCTCGGTCAACATGGACTCGTCTAACTTGTTTTCGTCGGAGCTAGCTTCATCCATATCGTCTGTGTATACAAGCTCTTCAGACTAACTTCGGGGCTCCATGGATAGATCACTCTCGTCGTCGTGGAGAGAGGCCAGTTCACGACGAGCGGTGGTCGAGGTAGTATCGGCGACCTCGTCCGAGTCTTCGACCGCTTTGCTTCGTTTACTCCAAGTCTCATTGCTCGGGCGAGTTGGAATTGTGTTGCATTCGGTAGTTGATGTCTCGCTTTAACTGTTTCTGAACAAGGGTGCCTGGGGCAGGTTCAGGCTGACTTTTACATTCTTTATCAGAGATGCTGCTAAGGAGGACTTCGTCGTCAGCTACGCTCACGAGATCAAGTATCGTATAGGTCGGGGCTGGGACGGCTGAGGCGACATCCTTGTCGTCTGCAATTGCTTGGACGGGAGGTGGATCGAGACGTCTTTGCTCATCCAGGTGTGCTGGATTCCTTGGTTTGGCAGGAGATATACCCTGCTTCTCCACCATTTTTGTGTCTGTCGTAGGGATTAGACCCACAAAACTTACGAAGGTCCGGAGGTTCGGACTTGAGGACCGAATACTATCGACTTGGCCAAGAAGAACACAGCAAGAAAGGAATAGATCCAATGTTAGGCAAATGTAAATGTGAACAATATATAAACTAGCTAAAGCGGACGACTTTTGGGGAAA